GACAGAGCCTGTTGTATCGCCTCGTCAGGCTGACATCTTCAACTGTACGACGACATCTCATGCCTGAATGCTCCAAGGTATTCAGATATACTACGAGGTTGCAAGTCCTGATCCTGGCGCTGCTCTGCGTCTATCTGACAGTCTTTTCGTAAGTCAGGAAACCCTTACGGCATAACATAGCTGACGTTCAAAGGTTCACCGGGATCACCTACAAGACGTGGATTACACCCATCAAAGGCACCAACCTACACAACACCCGCAGCGGTATTGGTGGCTTTGCCGATCGCGTTGGTGCTTTCGCATTTGCTTTGACTCCCCTGACCATCGCTCTGTGTAGCCGCGACTCTATGCTCAGCATGGTCACAGGTATCCCTTATCAAAGTTTCAACTTCTTGCACCGCTGGACGGGCCGCATCATCCTTGTCCAATCTTTCGTACACGCGATCATGTGGACAATCGTTGAAGCAAAGCTTTACCAACCCCAACCAACAACGTACAGAGAATTCATCAGCCAGAAGTACATGATCTGGGGTTGTATCGCACAAGGCTTCATCACCTTCTTGTTCGTCTTCAGTCTCAGGCCGGTAATCCGCTGGACGGGTTATGAGTTCTTCCGCAAATCGCATCTCATTGTCGCTGGCCTCTATCTGGGAGCCTGCTGGGGCCACTGGGAGAAACTTTCGTGCTGGATGATTGCATCACTAGCCATCATGGGCTTCGACTTGGTCGCCCGCAGCGTCCGCACTTGGCTCATTCACACCGGATACAAGGACGGAAGTCTCGGTCTCGGTTTCCGCTCCATTCCAACAACCATGGAAACGTTCAAAGACCCAACGGGTACCATCGTGCGCATGACATTCGCTCACAGCCATAAAGCCTGGGAGATCGGCCAGCACTACTATCTGACCTTCCCCGCGCTCAACATCTGGCAATCGCATCCTTTCACCCCGGGATCTAATCCTACAAGCTCATCTCCGGTGCAGAGTCACACATACATCATCCGCGCCTGCAAAGGCGAGACCGCCAAGCTCGCTGCTCTCGCTGAACAAGCCGCCATGTGCTACCCGCGTCGCGATGCCTCCACGCCAGTCATAATGATGGGACCATACGGCAGCGCCATCACGAACGACGAGGTCTCCAACGTTCTCGCTGTCTCTGGCGGTACTGGAATTACCTATACCCTTCCCGTCATCATGCACGCATTAAGCGACGCCTCCCCTGCGCGCAACATCGAACTTGTCTGGACAGTAAGGCACCTCGAGAACCTTGCCTGGATTGCACCTGAACTCGCTTATCTGAAGTCACAACTTGATGGTGCTGGTGCTGGTCGACACTACACCGAGGACAAGCTAGAGAAGGCACCAATAGTATCGGTGGAGGCGAAGAAGCGCTTCAAGATTCGCATCTTTGTGACTCGACCTGATACGACGAAGTACCAAAGGCCATCTCATCAGCTCCACGATGACAAAGACAAAGACTTCAGTGAAGGTGGCTCATTGTCGCAAACTTCTTCCATTGACTCCATGTCTCTCGACCGCAAAGTTGAGGAGCTCAGTCGCCAATGCCCGAACTTCACTATCACATGGCTGAACAATGCACGGCCGGATATTCCCTCCTTGGTCGATACTTTCATGACCGAGACAGTCGAGAAGGGCAGGACGCAAGTCATCGGATCGGGCCCGCCTGAGCTAGGAACTCAGCTTAGGGCTGCTGTTGCGGCGAAGAACGTGCCTGGGAACGTTTGGCGGGGCGACGAGGCGAGTGATGTCGAGTGCGTCTGGGACGATCGCATGGGTTAAGACACTGGTTGAAGCCTTCTTGATTACTTTCGCTGTAGATATTTGAAGCAAAATGTGCGTACAAAGAGACACACCAGTCCCTCAACTTATTACACTTGGCCTTACTTCCACGCATTATTATCAACTGTCTGCGCACCACGCCAACCTAGGAAAAGGCTGAACAGCCTGGAGCCTACATTGGCGCTGGGTCACCGCCTTTGCAAGGTTTTGGCTTCATGTAGCCTGCAGACCTGTTCAGTTTTTTTCTTGTATGAGGTGGCACGGTCAAGACAGCTCTGCCCTCGGCCTCTCCACTGGCACATCATGCAACTCGCTCATCTGCGCCATATGTCCTTCAGATGCACCGCCATCAGCCTTCAGGGTAGGAACCTTTTCTGCTTCTGCGTGTACAAATTGCGGTTCCGATGCGGCTTTGCTCCGCTTGCGCTTGCGCAGTATGCAAAACGTTCCAAGCAGGATGAGAGTTATCCCAACGACCCCACAAACAGATCCTATCGCTATCTTCGCGCCTATGGGCAGACCAGAATTCGTGCTCTGGGGTGGCGAGGAGGACGCTGCTGCACTGGGGCTCGGTTCGCTGATAGTGAGAACTGGAGTTGAGCTGGTAGCAGCGCTAGAGGTTGACGAGGACGTAAAGAGGGTGGTACTGTATTGCGACCAGACTGTCAGCGAAAGATGTTTCATGGAAGAACTGTAGCGGTAACGGGAAAAAATGTGACTGACCTACTGATCGTCGAACTCGATGAAGATGACAAGGCTCCCGCATCTTCGATCGCAAATCGTCCGTCAAAAGTGTATGTGCAATCGTTCACGCCTGCATCGCAGATTGCCATGAAATAGTTGTCTTTGCCTGCAAGCACACCGGATGGGATCCATGTATAGCTCCCGTTGTTAAGCGTTTCACCTAGAGCTATCAGCATTCGTCCCAACACTTCTTGCGTCACTGGAGACTTGAGATCGGAGGAGTCCTACTTGTTATTAACACCGCAGTTGTATCAGCGAAGCGAAGATCAATCGACACGGGACCTGGAGTGCCATTGGACCATGAAATCAGGTACGGTTCCTCAGCTTCGATCACTTCGCCCGCTGCAGGGCTGCTCATGAAATTGTTCCCGTCACTGCACGCCACGCTGAGAAAGTAGAAAACAGCAAACAGCTGTTTGAAAGGTATCATGACTGATGCAATGATGTATCGCTAGGATGGAAGACTTCTGGTCTGCGCGTCGCGCGCCATGCCCCGGTATGTGTACCTACCTGCTAGGTGTGCGAAGCCCCCTAAAGGACCGCCATTGCCACAATGGGCAATTTCGAATTGGTGCGGCTGAGGATCGTCTGTGGGGGTGGTATTAATTTTGTTAGGCTGAACCAATACGCAGTCAGGTTGTGTAGTGCAAAGGCGCAGTGGCTGTACCTAGGCGTTCATCCTGCTGGCTCGAATTAGTATCGCGCACGGCTCAATACAGTGACTATTGGAAAGGAGCGATAGCCAATCTCATAACAAGAAGATGTTCAATTCGATTGGCTCATGTTGCATATCCAGTACGACAAGCTAGAGAATGGCATTTCGTGGCTGGTTTCAGCCTTGCGGCATGAGTTCAGCTCTTTTTGCGAGAGCACCCGGAAGCCTCTCAAAGCATTTCAGCCTCGCTTTCCCATCGCCGTTCACGCGTAACAAGATTCTCATGCCACAGCTGTTCTATTCATGTTCAAATCTTCTCTTCGCACGGTCTACAGCCTCTTCGTGTTCGGTGAAATAATCGAGTGAGCGTGTGCATCAACAACGCCAGCACACTGACGAACTTGACTTGGAAGAAGTCTTCACCAAAGGCAATTCTACAGTCCAATGAACTATAGGCGGAAAGCTGACATCGTTGGCGCAACATGTTTTGCCGCCGATAGTTCTGCTGCCAATGGTGACGGTTGTTCAGCGCGATGGCTGTACAATGGCGACTCCACCCAGTATGTATAGCCATTATATTTGTGCTTATGTAGGTGTTCGCTGGGATAGGGAGCACCCCATTCAAAGGAATACCCGAACACCCTGGAGCCTACATCAAGATGAACTCCTGCGAAGTTGGTGGCCTAACGGCGACGTAGGCTCCTGGATATCCAGTTTTTCCCTTGTGTGAGGTGGGAGGGCGCGATCGCCAACTTCGAGACGCTGAGACGTGGTATAGGCATGCTTGAGGAGTGCCGTAATGCGAGGATACATGCGAAGGATATCGAACTTGATTGACGTTAGTGGTAGACAACAATGAGTTCAGTGGGAAGACGTACCAGAAGAACGCGACCACGGATGGTATGTTGATCGAAGCTAACAGAATTCCACACATCGCCATTTGTGACTACCTTGTACAATTCTCGAGCAAGTCTGTATTGTAAATGCAGCTCAGCAGCAGGGAGTAGCAATGCGATGCAATGCCTAGAGGGTTAGTTGTGACATTACGTCCGGCGAACTTTACGACGCAGACGTTCCCAAGAGCCCCGAGGTCGCGTTCAAATCGAGTCGATGTACCAAGATAGTCTCGTTGGTAGCACCTACTATGTGGTCTGATCTGATGAGCGAGAACGTAAACTTGGAGTCTACCTAGGTAGCTTAGTTGATGCAGTGGGTGGTTGCGCGCGTCTGGCAGGAGCTCACACGCGTCCATGATGCGCGTGGGAAGGGGTTACGCTCACCATGCTCAATGGGAGCGCAAAACCAGTATTGGGGGACTCGGTGGGCAAGGATCAATAGAGTCTCTCATGATAGAGCTAATAGTGAGCTATGCATGGTATAAAAGTAGACGTAGAGAAGCTGGAGCTGCAGCCCCAGACTTGGGGTTCGGGGGTTTGCCGCTGGCTTGGCACCGACGCGTCAACATCATCCACTGCCACACGCAAGATACATGGCGGCGTCGCGGCAACTCGCCATCGACGTTTTGGCTTTGGCCCTCTGCGATATGTCACGTCTCTTCGCTCACTCTGAGAAAAGAGAACGCACAGATATCCTTTCATGAGATGCTTCAAGTAGCGTACGACGAGCAAATACAGAAACGCAGTCTATGTGCAAAAACCGAACCGCACCCCCACGAACCCAACGAACCCTCGCGATACCCTCCAGCAACGGCTGCTCCTGCGAAGTTCAATCCACATACAGACGCATCGCATGCGAGGTAGTGCATACTTTCAATAACGAGGCGAAGCTACCTAGGTACCAGGCTACTCAAGGGACATCTCTCGCTCCCACATCTCCAAGCTGTTGTTATTGTCGGACGGTTCTTCGTCGTCAAAGCACATCCACTCCTCGAATATCGCGTCAGGGTCTTCCACCATTGAATCGTCCAGATCGATTGGGATGATGTCGCCAATTGTATGCTTGTCTTCCACGTTCGTTGCTCCAGGTCCGCCACCACTATCATGAATTCCAACGACTGAAGCCCATGACGCATGGTTCTTCCTTCTGAGGTCTTCGCTGTGTTCAGACGAGTGTTGGACATTTCCCACCATATCCATATCTGAGGATGGGAGAACGACCTTGTTCATGTTATCTGTTCGATGGCGCGATGCAGTCCTTGCACCATGGGCTAGCAAAAGATCTCTTGTGTAAGCACGCTCTTCCTTGTGACGTTGCCAGTACCCGTAAAATGATCTCTCGATGATGATTATGGCAGATTGGCCGCGCTGCCAATGCCGTCCCTCAATAGTGAGATTTACATCGATTTGTGTGTGGTGGAGTAGGAGCTCTACGATGCCGATCTTTCCAGACTCACTGGCGATGTGTATTGGTGCTCGGCCGGAAGCGTCTCTACGATTGATATCCACCATTGGATGTGTAGGTTTATCGTGCGTCTGAGCATGCTCAAGTAGGAGCATTGCCAAACTGAGGTCACCAGTACGGGCAGCTCGATGCCAGAGATTGTTGCCCCGGGTTGGAAGAGACGCTGTTTCGAGTAGCCCTCTTTCCAAGATATCGACGCGCTTTCCAGACGGTTCTGTCGCGACACTCAAATTTTGGCGAATGGTATCCAGGGGGACACTTCCGTAGTCAAACAGGATTTCTACCAGACACCAGTGTGCTCCCCGGATCGCTTCGGACAATAGTGACTGTCGACTGTTCCGCACGTCGTTCCGATCAACTCGGCCATCCCCCAATAACACACTCAACGTTTTGCCATAGCCACCCTGTGCTGTCACCTGCCACAAGCTCATTCTTGAAGGACCAAAGGTTCGATTGACGTCGACGTCCTGTCGAAGTAGCAAGAGCGCTACCGCCTCTGTGTGTCCGCCGCGAACAGCACTTTGCAGTGGCGTCATCCAAAGGCCAGATGTGTCCTGGACGTCGACATCAAGTCCTCGATCGTCGAAGGCTTTGAGCATCAGCCGTATGACTCCTACATGTCCTCGGCGACATGCAAGATGTAGATATGTTTTTGTCTTTCGTGAATGCAGCCTTTTGCCATCGAGAACGATACCAGAGCATTGGAGGAGCTTTTCGACAACCTGGACATGTCCTCTCCAAACAGCAATACCCAGCGGCGATGACATCTCGTCATACACATTTAGTTCAAAATCAATGGTCGTGAATTCGAGCAAAAGGCCAACAATCTCGCTTTTCCCCTTGGCAGCGGCAAGGTAAAGAAGACTGAACTTGTCATACACGGACCTCCTAAGAGTCGCATTGACATCCAACTTCCCAGACTTCAGCAGGCATTCCAGCATCGCTTTCTGGTTCTTGTGAATAATTCGCGATATCACTGATCCTTCGCTCCCGGTCCATTGCTGGGTAATGTCGGGTAACACCAATATTGTAGCCATGTATGCTGTGTTGGTGGAATCGGCGGCGATCGCGAATAGTTTATGGCTGAACATTCCCAACATCTGTTCGTCGCAGGATTCCCACGCGGTCTCGAAGAGTTGGATTTGGCTTGTCTGGATTGTCGCGCATAGCACATGTTTGGTGATGTCGACTCTTCTTTGCACAAGGATATTGAATGCGGAAGTGCAGCGAGCTAAGATCGCTTCGTGTAGAGGTGTTCTTCCCTATTAAGCTGTTAGCCTGAATAATAAGATGTCTTAGAACTGCGTTAGCAAAGCATAGTAAGGGAGCTACATACTAGTAATAAGTTAGCAAGATATCTTAAGAGCTACTCGTAGCGGCTACTTCACCCTTGCTGTTTACAATATCCGATCGCGCTCCCGACTCGATGAGAAGACAAATCATGCCGGTCTGGTCGGCTTTGGCGGCGCAATGTAAAGCGGTGGAACCGTCATCAGCTTGCTTCGAGATGTCGACGCCTGACTGCTGCATAGCTTGTACAAGTCCAAGATTACCTGCCGACGCTGCCTGCATCAACGTGCAGGTACTTGCTATGGGCAGATATCTTTGATCATCGCCGAGCGTACCAAGTGAAATTGACGTCGAGAGACCATGCGGCTTTCCCCGCCGACGGCCTGGTTCAGCCTTACCAAGGCCAGCAAAGGTTTGCGGGTGAGTCTTGCGAACATGTTGACGAATATTGTCTTTGCGAGAAGCTCTGAACACGCAGCTCGCTACGATGCATGGATATCGGGCTACGCCGAGTCGATGGCGTGCCTGCACATGTCTGGTGAGATCGGAACGCAGAGCAAAGCCTTTTATGCATTCTTCGCATTGGAAAGGCTTTGTATGAGTTTTGAGATGTTGACTAGTGCTTGTCAGCAGCCAATAGAAGAGGATCGACTACCTAGGTAATGAGCTTACTTGTAGCGGCCTAAGGTGTCGAAACGTTTGACGCATTGATTGCAACCGAAGAGCTCACTCGAGTCCATAATGCTTGCTTCGTCGTAGCTGCTAGGTAAGCGACACCGTATACAATGAAAGAACTAAACAGATGTACTGAGGTGCTGCTGTATACATCAGTATAAAAGTTCACGTTAACAAAATCTTTAGGTAATGTAGCCTTCTAAGAGGTGGGTGCTCAGGTTTTCTTTTCTACAAGGAGACGGAAGGCTATACTCTTGAAAGTGGCTTCGTGATGGTGTCTAGGGCGAGGCTGAAGTCTGCACAGGCGGTAATTCGTCCAATTACGCAGCGGCGAGCAGCCCCTTTTGCAACACCACTACACCATTGGTCGCCCATCTTCTCACTCACCGTCTGCCAGGTGTTTTCCGTACTCTTCCTCTATGTCTTCCTGACTCTTTCAACCTCCATTCTTTTCTTACCCTTGAAACATCCATTCATCCACCGCCGCCGACTCCTCGAACGAGCTACAGAGCATCGCTCGTGCGCGCATCTATCTAAACGGTGATACGATACCGTTCACGACAAAGACATCCAAACCCACGATACTACGCGACATGAACATATTCGACGCCGAAATGGAACCTTTCAACTTAGACGGAAGAACCGACCACTGCTGGCAGCACCCTCAGCTGGCCGTGTCGCACACGGGCGAATGCGCACGGACGACTGGCGGCACAACGAATCACAGGTAATTTTTTTTGACGACCTGTAGTTATGCCTTCTCTCCTGTTCCTGCTGGATCGGTTTCCACCTCCACATGGCTGTGGTTACCCACCATCAACGACGCCACTCTCGGCGTGCAGGGATACTTCCCTGTTACACCTGCCCAAGGACCTTTCAGCTTTTGGGATCTATACGACTCTGTCACCGACAGCAGTCAGGGTCGTCTTCTTGGAGAAGCAGATACGTACGGAAACTGGCCTGTGTTCGAAGATCCCCTCATCAACCCTCCGGTTGGTGATGGCTTCTTTCCTCAAATGCTTCCGGAGCTCGACCCCTTACTGGCGCAGCCTTCCTACCCTACCGCAGGACTTGGTCAGGCCTTTCAACACATCGCTCCCGCTCCCACTCCCACCCGAGATGCTGTTGTTCAGCCAAACATCATCGCACCACCGTCACGTGTGCATGCCGCTGCTCGTCGCCGCACGGTTGAACCGCGCTTCCAGTGCAACATTGATGGCTGCACCAAGGCATACCGCCGTGTTGGCGATTGCCGCCGCCACATGCGTAAGCACCAAGCCCCTAACCTCAGATGCGTTGTCGAAGGCTGCAGCATGAAGTTTGACCGCATGGACAAACTTCGTGATCACGTCCGACAAGGCCACAAGATGAACTTGTAAGGGCTGAGCTTTTGGTGTTGCTTTGAGAAAGCTCGTATGTGGGGTGAAATATGGGATGGGGAAGTCTCTCTTGAAGTTTGGTGTGCTGTGTCAGTTGTTGGATCTCTTGGTTTCTCACTCAATTGTAATATCTCCTTCAGTCAGTCGTTACCTAGGGACAAATATAGTTGGCGTTAGTGTTATCGATAAAAATATAACAGTCGTTACCGAAATGCTACATCACCAAGATGCTATTGCTTTTGCTATGTTCACGAAGGAAGGCTGATATCGCAGGTCTGGGGTGACGCGAGGATCGGGCCAATCTATGTAGATCGACTCCTCCAAAAGTTGCCCCACCTCAATCAAAGAGAACACCAACACGAAACACCCTGGAGCCTACGTCGACGCCCGGCTTGCTAATTTGCTTCTTTCATCCCACCGTAGTCTCCAGACCTGAATGTTGCGCTGTATGAGACGGCACCCGCCGAAATCTTGCATGTTAGCGTCAGCCTCATGAATGGAATGCCTATTCAGGTGCGTTCAGGAGACAACTGCTTTATTATGACACCAAAAGGCTTCCGTACTACACGATCCATCCCCAAACCAAATCAAACCGCCCCCAATCAAAAGAGTCTTTCCTAGAAAAGAAATAGAAAGTAAAAGTGCACCCACCCCCCCAGCTACAGAAGCTGAAAGCTTGTCCCCTCCTGACGTTCCCGTACGTGATGTGTTCCAGTGGATACCGAGCTCGCGTACCGAGCTCGCCTCGAAACAGGACAAAACCACCAAACAATTGCTAAGCATCGGAAAGACAGGAAAGGTATGCCGAAGAGAACCCTTAGACGTTGCACAAGAAAGAGGAAATATCGTCGTTCATGGTGGAGAACTCGCTGTGGGAGCGGATGTTGGCAACATCACCAGTGGTAGCAATCTGGCCGTTTCCATTGCGGCAACCAGTGTCGCTATAAAGTAATCAGCTTGTGATCCCCTTAACTCGTGTTATGCAATCACTTACTTGTAAAAGATGCAGTTGTGGCCGTTTGCCTTGAGCGAGCTGACCTTGTCGTTCAGCCTTCCAGAAGCCTCTGCTACATGTTAGCTACCACGTTCAAGAGATGTGCATGCTGGAAATGACTTACCGCAGATGCCGTAGTGGAAATTCACATTGTCGCAATCGTTGAAGTCTTTGTTGGAGCAGAGTTGAACGCTGGGGTTGAGCTGCCTCTGCTGGATGGAGGCGGCGAAGGCGGCCGAAGAGGCGAAGAGGGCGAGGATGATGGTCTTGGAGAACATGTTGTTGAGTTGAGAGGAGTCGATGGACAACTTGAAGTGGGAAGATGTGATGATTGAGTGTTTGGAAGTGATGATTGGAGATGATGAGGGATGTCTGTTCTGTGCGGTTTTCCTCCAGTTCTTATATAGCATTCACAACGTCTGCAACTCATCTTTCTTTCATGTCTAACACATCCCACGGAACCGTCTTTGACCCCAAAAAGCATAGCCATGAGAAAGTATCGGCGGTATCTCATTGCTGAGCCTTGGATACGAGCGTGACTGATTCGAGCAAATGAAGCCAAGTATGCTGAGATGGTGTTGTAAAGGCCCTACACCTCACCGACAAGTAATCACCTCGATTAGACCCAGAATAGCAGAACATCTCCTGGGCATACCACGATGGACGCAAGATGCGAAGTTCGAAGTAACATGCTTGGCAGCCGTTGGATTAGTATACATCGGAGAACTACCAAGACCGTGCTCGGGCCGGTCTGAACAGTCGAGCGGATCCAGAAAGACGGACCGATGCAGGTAGTCGGAAGACCCTGAACGACCCTGAATCGTGGGGCTGACCTGTTCGAGACAGGCCTAATGCAGGTCATAAGTCTGGATTTGTGCCTTGCTTTGGACCGAGTGGGGATAGCGAGGCCATCCTGATGACTGATACTCAGCGGTGAAGACATCTGAGATCCCTTTTCAGCTAGCGACCCAAGTCCTTGGAAGCCATGTAGTTACTGCATTTGGCAGTGACCTTACTTCTGGTAATTTCGTATTAGTGCTGGGCATGCTGTTTCTGTCAACGAATAGACCCGATGTCAGCGAAAGCGCGAGCAGTCCAAGTCCTTAGGGCTGATTCGGATACGGCCTCAGTAACAATCGTATGCTTGGTAGTCTGTCACCGTCGCGGTACTTTCTGCTATGGTGCGAATACAGCGGATGTCGATGAGGATGTGAGCGGAGAGCCAGCAGTCGTTGAATCCGTATCCGACGCCGGATGCAGTGCCTCAGTAATCAGGTATTGAGGAGATGTATGTTGATGAAGCTGCCAAAGTTATAAGTAACGGGCGCAATGCTCTCTTCCAGCATCAGCTCAGTGCCTCACTATCCTTCCTGCATCCTCATCTCAAATCCTTCACTTCTCTTTCCTACACCACGGCCTTCATCAGCTACCCTACCTCACCATGACTGCCTCATTCCTCAAGCTATCTCTCCTTGCTACTGCCAGCATGGCTGCAGCCGCCAGCGTCAATGCGACGGCCAACATCGACATCGACGTTTCTTTGGGAGCAATCCCCATCGAGGTCATTGCCGAGAAGGTCCATGTTCCGACCAAGGCCATGGTCGACCTCCTCAACACCGTCGACTATGTCACGATGACCGTGGAAGACTGGTGCCCCCTCCTGCAGCAACCCATTGAGGCCGTCCAGGCCTGGCCGGACCACGTCAAAGAATACGTCTTCACTGAACTCTCGCTCGAGGTCTCGGCCTTGGTCGCCCCGGAAGCCGCCCGTGTCGACGCTGTATCCGAAGTCAAGAGCAACAAGCTTGCCGCTCGCAACGACTCGGTCCGTCGCATGGAGCGTCAAGCGCTTGCCCTTCACGATGCGCGTATCAAGTCAGGCCGAAGCGGCTGCTTCCAGAACTGGGCATGTGGCTCTTGCGTCGTTGCTGCTGGGCTTGCAGGCGCTTCCGGTATCGCTGGATGCACTGGCGCTGCTTTGGCCGCCGTTGAAGGCACCGCTGGCTTTGCTCTCGCCGCAGTCTATGCTGCCTATGTTGAATGCACTGCCAAGGTTGGTGGTGCTACTACCGCCGCCATTGGTGTTTGCCACTCTGGCCTCTAGTTCGATACTGTCGGACGATTCGCGGCTAATGTAGTGAGGTAAGACATCTGCTTCCCCTTCACCTTGCAGTGAGATTCTCGTCTAACGGTATCATAGATTGTCCAGAGGTTTCATTACGGCAATCTGTTGGGCGGTTTTGAGCAGGAAGCAAGGGGCTATTTGTGGCAAGATTTGTAGATCGGCGATGTAGCCACCATGTCTGTATTTGGTCGATGTTTGGTTTTGATAGTGTTTCGATGCTTCGATTCGAATTAATGGGAGTGAGTGGTAAGATGGCTATTGGATGTTTAGTCGAGGAATTCACAGGTCCAATACTCACCCGTGTCCCGTGTTCCGAGTATCACCAGCCCTAACGCGCGGTGACATGCATGTTGCACGTCTTCTCTCCGCTTGAAGACCTCGACCGCGCCATTCCCACCTATTGAAGGGAGCCATCTCCACAGCAAGCATATCAGCGATCAGCGCAAACCCTTGCGGCTCGTCGCCATCGCCCTCAATGTTGATTGAGCTGCACGAGAAGCTGCCACATGCGGCTAGAGGGCCCCGCAAGTCTGGACCCTGAAAAGACGTCACCCGCCAAGATATGATGGCATAGCATCAGCCGCTATTGCTCAAATACATGGCAGTCGCTTAGGACCGATGTGAACGAACAATTACGATTCTTTTTGCTGCACCTGCATACCAAAGACCCTGAACATTCGGTGCGGTCCTTCTACGGCCTCTAGGGACTACCCAGCTGACTGATAGACAGGGACCAGTACCCTCCAATCACACTATTTGACACGGCACCGCCTAGACCCTAATAGTAGTTCACAGACTTCACGTACGTTCACGCTTTCAAGGTTCCAGGATGTCTTGCAGCTTACTAAGATACGACAGCACACACTGTCTTCACCATGAGCTCACGACCATCTCTCATGCCGCCCACCGAGGGCTCCTTCCTCTCATCGGGCGCCTTCACTCCCTCGGGCCTCACACCCAACACACGCTCCGAAGCCGAAGCCGCCTTCACCTCCAACAGCGCTTCGCAAACCGATGCGGCTGCTCCCGACCCAAATCTTTTGCCCCTGATGGGTGCCGGTGGAGGAAACGAGACAACAGACAATGGCCCAACTGAAGCTGTCCGTGCTTACACTGGCTACCGCCGCCCTGGCATGGCTCGAGCAAGCTCAGCGAACTACGAGAACGCACTGAAGCGAGCGCAGCAAGCGTCCGTCTCGTCCGACTTCTCCGCCGACTCTGAAGTACCCGACAACGTCACTGCGGGCCGAACAGTCGCGTCGCCGACAGGCTCCACTCCATTCCCGCCTCCCGGTCAAGGTGTAGTGCCCCTCAACTACAACTCTACTCCCGTTGGCGCCGCTCAAGGCGATGCAGTCAAGAAGACTCGTTCGCGTGGCCTGAGTCTCAGCGGCCTTGCCCAGCAGCAGGGATGGAGCGAGCAGGACTACAAGCGTGTATACAGCGCCGATTTGCTTGCTGAAGAACCGAAGAACAGCGCTGGATATGGCTCAGGCCCGAAATAAGAGGCGAGCATGACATCACGGTGCATGACGGCGTTCATGCAGACCGACACTCAGCCCAAGGGAATGCAGCGGTCATTATAGGACCGCTAGCTTGCTACAACTGCTATTACATTTACCATATCATGAGCTTCATGCAAGGCGTTGGGTGGAGTTCTGCCAAAACATCGAGGTCGCAGGCCGACGATCCTGTTTAATACATCGATTATGATCCAGTGCATTTCACTATCGTCCTTGACATGAATGCGATAAGAGCCACAAACGTTGAGCAATAGCAACTACTAACTGCGTAGTATCATATTGCCCTTATCTACCATCTTCTTATACTTCTCGCATCTCAGTTTGTTGTTGCACCTGTATGCCTCTCCACCCTCTCTACACTGCTCTGGTCCTACGCAGCATGTCATGTCTCTGCATTCGGTCCAGCAAGTCCTCTTCCCGCACGTCTGCTCACATACTTCTTTGAACCATTCATTGCTACTATGCAGTCTTTCGCACTTTGCTTCGCACTTCAAGTGAGCATTACCCAGGTCACAAGTCTCCAGGCATGTATCGCGAAACGCACTGCAACCTCGAGATAAAGTCTCGATTCTACTTGGGGCGGGAGTGAACGGGAGAGAGGTCGAGTTTTGCGTTCCCGAGGAGCGAAAGGGCAACGCACAAGAACCAGTATGGCAATACGTTGGCGTACTCCCCCAGCAAGACTCCACACAATCCCGATCCGGTGCAAGCGAGGCGTTGATCTCTTGCCATGTTTGTTGCTGACATTGAGTATGGTTCTTGAAGCAATTGGGTGAGCGTAAGCTGTCTGCCAACGCGTCCAGTGTAGGTGGAATACACCTATCGTGTGTGCATCGGACCCAAGACTTCACGCAGTCTTCACACTCCATTGTATGAGCCGGCTCGAGAAGGTCAGCGCGGTCAGCGAGGTCTTTGCAGATTTGGCGCTCGCACGCCCCGTGGACGCCGCAGTGTACAGGACCGTCTGTGCAGAGCTGGAGCTCGCATTGTAGAGTTCGCTGGTGGTCTGTTGTGTGGAGTGGGTAGGGCGGGGCGAGTTCATACCCTGGGGGATTGTATGCCATTCTGCGTTCGTGAGGTCTCTCACAGTTATTCAAGTATAGCTGACAATCCGTACACGTTTTCACCTCCGCGTTGTCCGCATCTTTTCTCGCTTCCGCATTCGCGACCCTGTTAAGCTCTACGTTCTGCAGAGACAGGATAGGAAAGCGACCAGTAAGACTGACGTCGCAAAAGTCGCACTCTGAGCATTCATGATCGCTGCACAGATCGTCGGCTGTATTTCGATGCGATGATGAGATTGGAAGTACGAGGTTTTCGGATGCGTCGCCCATGAGAGAGCGATAGTCGGCGTAGCATGAACGGTCGCATGTTTGCTGTTCCGACCCTCGGATGCCGAATAAGGAGGAGAAAGACAGTGCGCGTACAGTGAACGGAAGAGATAAGAGGATGGATGCTTTCGGTATCAGCATGGTGGCGGATGGGATGTGTTGGTGCGGGTTGATTGAACGAAACGAACATCAAAGCGGGGACCCGAAGCTTTGAACATCGGAGGAATGATTTTCTAGGAAGTGCATCGCGGGAATTTTCACTAAGATAGAAAGCTGGGAGTGAACTGACCACCTAGGTATTTCAAGGTTCGGGGCGAGCTCGCGCGAGTCACGTGACTGGTACTCACCGCGAATGCTGGGCTTGTATCCTGCATTCTGCATTCCCTCATCTCGGCACTCTGACAAACCATGAAGTCCGACGCAATCTCTCAATACGATACAATGAAACTTGAAAAGAGCAATAGCCCATCGAAACTGTTGGTCGAGCCTGCCCGATCGAGTCGCTGGATTGAGGGTGCAAACACTGAGAGCGGAGAAGGCTTGGCTTGATGCGTTGAGGACCTAGAATATTGGATTACATACTAAATGATAGGCTATTAGTTGACCGACGGCGCGAATGTTCGAGAATGAGTTCGACTACTCGCTGATTCGGGTGTTTGTCAGTGTCGGGGTAGCTCTTTCCCTCACTATCGACCTATCACCTGCTTCAGAGATTGAGGCAGCCGTTACCTCTACACCGCTCGTGCTTCTAGCTCGACCCCCTTTCGTACGTCAATGTGCTTTGCATACCGACTTCCTCCACTCCTTCCTCCCTTCCTGCACCATCAACTTCCTTTTTCTCCTCCTACTACCACATTTCAATACCACCTCATCCTACACGCTCACTGAAGATGCGATTCAACAAGATCTTCGTGGCTCTGGCCATGGTACTACCTGTGGTGTTCTCTGCCAGCATTCCATCCGCGGAGCAGTTCTGCGAGCCAGGCACTCGAAAGTGCGACTACAACGACGTGGTGATTTGCAATCCCCAAGGCACTGAATACTGGTCGGATCAGTCATGTAGCAAGACCGAAATCTGTACCATTGACACCAACAACCCTGATGATCATGGTCATTGTATCGCGACCTGCGACATCCCCGGCGAAGAGCGCTGCCTCGGCAATGAGTGGCGTGTCGCATGCAACAACGAGCACCGATGGAAAGCCATTGAATCATGCCCTACACCCGGAGTATGTAACACACTCATGAACAAGACTTCCTGCGCCACTGCAGACTTGCCACCGGCGCCTCTCCCTCCTGGCACTCCACCGCAACCTGAGCCTTGCAAAACAGTGACCGAGACGCGATGCTCAAACTGGTCAAACGGTCTTTACCGCATCGAGATGTGCAACTATGATCAATTCTGGCTTGCCTATGGGACCTGCGGATCGGAAGAGTTTTGCATGCACTGGGTGCCTGGTCAATACGTCAGCCAAGGCGAAACAAAATGCGTCTACGACCCTGAAATCCTGTCTACTGCTCCTCCTCCCAGATCCCTTGACTCTCGATCGTGGATTTCGCAAGGAACTCCAGATGCTCATGAGTATTGCGATACTGGCACGTCTCGCTGCTCTGGCAACAAACGTCAGGAGTGTGTCGACAACGTCTGGAAATCAACCATGTGTCCTAAGACTTCCGAATGCGTCAAGCATGACGATGTCGTGCAATGCTGGATGAAGCCACCTACTCCACCGACCGTACCCGAGCCATGCACACCAGGCAATCGAAAGTGCGACTCCGACGCATACGCCCTCATGCTTTGCGGAGACAACGAGATGTGGCATACCGAGAAGAAGTGCACCACTTACGGAGACTGCATCACTGACGACCCAGGGCAAGCGCACTGCGAGACTGGTGGTGTAGGTCCGTCGAAAATGCAACGTCAAACCAACAGCACTGAATGCGCCTACGGAGATTGGGCCTGCGACAGCCATCATCGCTTCATGTACAAATGCAACAGTAACGGTACCTGGTCGGCGCCGTACCAGTGCAGCAGGGCAGGTGGTTGCCAACCCGAGGGACCTACTTCCGCCTTCCCCAAGGGAAGAATGACATGCGCGGGTTTTCCGAAATACTTGTACCCTTACCCGGACAACAGGGTCTGTGAGACGGTCAAGAGCTGCGAGTACATGCAGTATCTTTACCTTATCGCTGTAAGTATTCCCCTTCCCTGCTCGTTCTCTTCTACTACGACGATACATCTGGGCTTTGCGAACGATGACTAACGCGCTGATAGGGCTCACCTGATGCCGAGACTAAGGAGAAGTTCCGCAAGAGCATGTGCGCGGACGAGGCTGTAAGTGATTTATTCTCAAGGTCAGGAGGAGTAGGCTAACATTCTTGTAGTGCATGGACTGCGATCGCTGCACTTACAAACTCGGACAAGGCGAGGTGCTACAACCTGATCTCCGCACCCTCCTTCATGGCTCGCCGGTGCCTGACAATTTTGACTAGTAGTCATGAGAGAGTAGGATGAAGTACCACGTCAGCTTGAGTATAACGAAGGCGGTTGGTGATGGGATTGATGTGTGGTGGAAACTACGCACAGCCTAAGAGGGATGTCAATATGTCTCCGATATGGCGAACATTCTGACCTTGGGTAACCCTATGTATAATCACCTGTAGTCCTCTACCAAAATGAATGGCTTACCAGCTCAATGACAGGCTTGAAAGCCGGTGACACTCCAAGTCGATATAGTAATCCTCTCTTCCTATTCACTCCTCAACCCAACGTCATAAGATCTTTCACAACGCCGATGCGACTGATCAACACTCTCACCCACCTCTTTTACCCAACACTCAGTTACCACGCATTCCTCTCCCAACACACGAACCAGGCAACCATAACAACAACTGCCCAAACATGCACACCATCCTCTTACCCATTCTTGCCCTCCTTCTAACCCCCCTCGCCTCCGCCGCAACACCAACCACAAACCCCCGCACTACAACCTACCGATGGATCCCCAAACCCGCAACCCTGCTATCCGAGATCCCCGGATCCGGCGTTTGTGACGAGGAGATTGAGTATTGCATGAAGGTACGTATCCGCCACTGAGAACAGAGAAATAGATTTATTGCTGGATTCGAGCTGACGCTTTGATAGACCAAGATGGGTTTGACGCGACAGCTGCAGATGCAGCAGTGTAAGCTGTGGGCTTGTGCGTTTCATGATACGGTAAGTTGGGTTGGAGAAGGATGGGGATGTGAGATTGGCTGGCTAACGTGGTGGTAGTGTCCTGGGACTAGGTACTGCGATGTTGAGTACACCCTCTAGCGACGTTTACGGGCGTGCTGTGAGCGAGAGAAGTGTCAACTGCCTCGTTAGAACTTGGAACACATATCCGCATAGACGGTGGTAGACAGTAGCAGAACAGACGAGCCATCTGGGACAAAATGGGGAATTGGTCACTGATAGATGTGAAATACCTCTATATGAGCCAAACGACTCTTCAAACTTTTGTTCCTCTTGCTGCGCCGATCTTGCCTTAGCGCCATGCTATGCTTTGAAACCACTTTTGTTGTATCCGCAACTCCTGATGCGCCGTTCATGCTGGGCCGCCGAGAAATCTCATCAGGTACCCTCCCAAGGGTCCAAAGAGCGGGACTCCTGTGTTGTGACCATTCCTGCCGAGCCACAGAGCATAGGCACCCACTACCATGGCAAGACCAACAGCTCCGTACCGGCGGTGGTGCCAAACACGCAGCTTGATGTAGTGTATTGTCTTGACGGCCTGTCTCAGGGTCTGCGCGCGACGGAGGTCCTGCTCCTGCTGCAAAAACAGCATCTCGCCGTCTTCCAATGTAAGATGACGCAGACTGTTGTTTGTCGCAGACGATTTGAGTACGCTGGAGGACGAGATGCGCCACCACTCCCAGCTGTTGAGCGACGCAGGAGGTAGTCTCTCGTACAGCTCCACGGTCCGGGCGATGTGGAACTCGACGTCAAAGGGCTCTGGGAGCTTCCCTAGCATGACGTAGAGTATGTCCTCGTCCTCCTTCTCGTACTCCAGCAGCTCCTCCCTCTTGGATAGCACCACAGCTGCGAAGAGGTATATGGGCATAACCGCATGTCGCGCCAAGAAGAAGTCAAACAGCCTCGTTATGTCCTTGTAGTCTTGTATATTGTGGGCGAACATGGTGATCGTTCCGGCGAGCGCGAACGACGGCTGGCTTTTGGGGAGGTGCTCATACAGGACGGGATCGGCGGCGCGGAGGATCGGTCGCAGCAATTCGAGCTGGGCGAGGGCCGGGTCGAGCGACGACAGCATGAAGTCGCGAATGCGAAGCAGGCTTAGTCGGGCAACTGCAGCGGGGGCATGTTCGGGGCCGAGAACGAGTAGGAAGACCTGGACGATATCGTGGTAGCCCTGGAAGTAGCAGAGCGTGGGGTGATGGCGCAGGACGTCGAGGATGACATCGGAGAGCTGCTCTTTTCGACGATTGAGCTGCTTCTCAGATTCTGGCCATGTCAGCATGAAACACGAGATGGTTCGCTTATATGCAACATACCGTTCTTGGGGTAATAGACAAACGCGCGGTTGACGTCCAGGCCAACCTGATGCTCATCCTTGTGCTCGGAGAGATGTTTCCATGGCTCCTTCTCTGAATCCTTGTCAGAGCATCCTAGCAAGAGAGGCCCTATAGTTGTCAGCCTAGTGTGGAGATGCGTGCAATGGGAGGCCTACAAGCAGTGCAACGCAAGCTATCGCTGACGAGGCCAGAGGGGCTGGTCGCGAGGTCTACCAGGGCGGTGACGTCGCCATTGTCGATTGCGGCGCGCACCAGAGACTCCATCTCCTTCTCGGCAGGCGTGAGGTGGGGAACGGGGGTGGCGTGTCGCGTGGGCAAGCTGCCAGAGCTCACTGAGCGCGACACGGAGCCAGAGGGAGTGCGTGATGCCATGACAGTGCCCGCATTTCGAGACGTGCCCTCAGTGCGCGGCAGCGGCAGGAAAGAGCTGGATCTGGGACGCGATGACGTGGCCAACGTGGGCCCTCGTGTGCGCAGGAGAGCGCAGGGAAGAGATGCAAGAGGGTGGCAAGATGTCTGTTGGAGGAGCTACATGCTGTTGCGCGTAGGCGTCCCAGCTGCCGGGTTGACGTGACGGGTCGCGCCTTCCTCCTTGTCCAACCGAGGCGCTTGGCACCCCACCGACTTGTGAAGGTCAACTACCGGCACTTGCCGTTTCCCATCCCATCGCCATCATCTTTTATCCGCTGTCTGCGCGGGGGTGACGACCGTGTAACCCGACAACACCACTCGCGCCCACCCTGCACGTCTTCGTAGGCGGCCATCAAGGCCCGAGACGCTGCCGTGCCGCCAAATCTTCCGTGTCGGCGCACTTGTCTGCATGCTCGACACCTTCACGCCGACCAACCATTGCTGGAAGACTTCCCGTACCCTGGTCAACTTCTGCGCCGCACCACTGGACTTGCAACCAACTCACATAGCCATCGCGATCCGACCGCGATCCGACTAAGATCGTACTCCCTGCTGCACGATCATCTGGTGATCTAGATCGGTACCCCCTTCCGATACTTGAAGCGCACTACACGAGCCTTTCCGCGCTTTACACGTGCTGCGTGCTAGTAGTAGGTGCATCCGGTAACTCCATCTCTGAGAAGGTGTCCAGGGTGCTGTAGTGGCCTGCTAGCTGCCGGCTTGAGTAGGTCAAGGCATCCCGGTTCCAGTTGCCTTAGGTCGCTGCTGCTATTCCGCTCACCACTAACCGTCCAATCCAGCCCTTGCCACATCCGACAGGCTTTCTGTTGCATCAATTGATCCCAGTACCTATTGCTGAACTTCCTTGCCTCATCAGCGTGTCTGACAAGCCTGTTGCGACAGGCAGCAACATGTCATCCGTTTCAGCTCTGAGTCTGCCTTCGTTGCTTCTACCTACGCTGGTCTGATCTGATCCCGTGTTGTGCGCGGAATCTGTCACCATCGATTTCGGTCTTCAAGCTATACTTTGTCTCCAGCCTTCCGAATAGGCCTTAATCAAACGTCATGGCCCAAGCCCACGGCCTCAGCCTCATCGACGGTGAGTGGGTTTCCAGACCGCTCGACCCTTATCAGATCATGGCCAACGCGCCTCAAGATGACGTTGAGATGCGGGATGCAACGCCTAGGCCAACAAGCCAAGTGCCTGAATACGGCATACTGTCGCAGACTGTCTTTGAGACACCGCTGAGCAAACTCATCCTTCCGGCGAAGATACGTCACAAAGATCTGACTGACGTTGTCATGGTCGGCGAGGACTTCATACGTGTCAAAGAGATCCGTGACTATGGCCAGATCCGCCATGTGGCTTCCAAGACTGACTTCAACGGCGGCCGCATCATCACAGCCAAAGTCTTTGGCGACTCTCGTGAAGTTTCCGCAACCACAAGTGGCAGTCCTTCGATACATCAAAATTACATGAAGCACAGGGCAAGAAGGCCAACCACGGGAAATGGAGACGACGCCTTACCTCCGGAAGTCATAGTGCTTACTCTATCAAACCGATTGTTGATGTTCTTGTGGGCTCAACACGATCCGGCAGGTACTGCCACATTCATCCAGAAGACCATCAAGCTACCTGCAGGGAGTTCCCGCTTGGATCGTTTTGGTACCTTTCTCGCTATAGATCCCAAATGTCGAGCAATGGCAGTCGCAGCACACGAAGGGCGCTTTATCCTCTACAAGACGAAGCCGATGGAAAGATGGAAAAGGGATTCCAGGATGAGCAATGAGATAGCTGCGCCTATCGAAGATGAGCGAATCATGTCTATTGAAGGTCAGATCATGCACATGGATTTCCTATCATCAGGAGGTGGACAGGACGATTACCACGTTGTTTTGCTGTTCGTCGTCGTCCTCCAGGGGAGGACCAGGCTCACCTGTTTTGATTGGGATTGCAGACAGGATCTCAGTAAAGCAACCCCTCGGACGGAGCGATACCTTGTCCAGTCTGGTAAGTGTATAGACATACTAAGCAATATGAGCGTTGCTGACCTGTCTAGAGGACACAATACCTTCTCTGCTCATACCACTTCGCCGGAGTCCGGATTTCCTTTTAGTTTCCGACGACCACATCTCGGTTTACAAAAACATTCTCTCTGGAGATCCAACGCAAACCACAGTGCCGATCGACAAGACAATACTTCAATCAATACTACCAGGCGATGGCAAGCACGCCCCCAAGTGGACCGCTTGGGATAAAGCGCCGCGCAACTCCGATTACCAAAAGGAGGTGTTTTACATTGCAAGAGAGGATGGCCGTATTGTGTATGTGGTGCGAGGACCAGCGGGCACTCTGGAGATCGATGAGGCTGGTGATTGGCAACACCGGATTGACACATCCTTTTCATGCTTGGGTATCGACAACTCAGAGATGTCGCAGCAATACCCAGATCTTCTGATTGCCGGCGGGGCAAGCAATGATGGGTTGCTTTGCAAAGTCGGTGCCTGGC